TATGTCTAAGATGGCCATGTGAGACTTAGACTTCCGCTGTGTGTTTTTAAAGTTGTTTTAATGAAGTTTAAATGTGTGGATGTAAATAAGTTTTTTTTTTATTCCGCACTATTTTCATTATTGAATGCAATGAATGACTATGTGGCTCGTATAAGACCCCTTTGGGGTCGAATACGCCATGTTACGACTAGGGGGTACTCTCGGGTCGTGACAGTTATGCTCTGTCCAGAATTTCAAAAATCTAAAAGGTTTCTTTTTACTGGTAATTCTGTCTTCACAAGTAAGCAACATAGGGGCATGATCTGAACCTGATCTTGCCAAGTGTTCAACCTCAAAATGAGAGAACGTGTTATGAAAGTCATTGTTAACCAAGATTCTGTCCAATCTTTCCAAAATACAATCATTTCCTACTCTATCATTCCACCATGTAAATGGACTTCCTTTGAAATTCACTTGGGACAGATCACAAGACTTTATACAAGTCTTAAAGTCTTCATAATCAATAGCCACAACAGGTAGACCCCCGATCTTTTCTTCCCCATTGAGAACAACATTGAAATCACCTCTAATTAGCCATGGTTTATCTATTCCACCACATAATTGATATAAATCATCCCAAATATCTAATCTTTGGATACTATCACACTTAGCATATACAAATGTTGCATAAAAGCTAAATGTTGAATTTTGATCAAGCATTAGAACAGTGAGTTGTTGCTCTGTGAAAGTTATGCAACATTTGTACTCTTTGAAATGCATGTTGAGACCTTACTGACCTAATATTCCAAATTAGAGCCTTCACTGATGTTTGGAATATTAGGATATAACATATCTCTTTGGTTGGACTCGAAGAGGTTGGGCTGATTCACCATCACCATGTTTCTTGTCATTTCTATCTGATTTAACAATCTTCATTACCCTTGGGGAAATATCTGCATCATTATAAATCTGCTCTTTACTTGATTTTGAAACTGTACCACAATCGACCCCCTTAAGTTCTGTTAGATCCTCTGGCTCTGAGTATACATCCTTATGAATGAGAATGCCATGCAAAGCTTTATTCAGTGATTCAGAATGGACCCTCACTACTTGGTCTTCATCAGACTGTAATACTGTAGGAACTACCAATATTTCCATATTATTATCCCTCTTAGTACACTGATTTTCACTTGTCGTGCCCATACTACTGCTGCTACGACACTGAACAATTGTATTTGCACTAATGTTACTTTTAGAAAATTCTTATTGTTGTTCATTGATCATATGCACCATATCATGTTTCTCTGGACTTTTGTAACCCTTATAAATTGAATCCCTTGATATCACTACTGCATACATGTCTTCATTATTCTTATCCTGAGTAGTGTGTAGCTCTTCATGCTTCTCTGGACTGTTAACATTCAGATCTGTAGATGTCGTAGCTAAGTTTATAGATTGCATTTCCTTCATCTTTTCTCCTTGTTGCTTTCTATGCTTCTCATGACATTATTCATGTCCATGTTCTTTCTCCCATCATCTATATTTTGTGGTTTCTGCTTATCCCCGTTGTTTCTTACTTTATTACTTTGAGATACTTCTAGCTGATTGCTTTTCTCTAATGCATGCTCTTTGCTTTTCAATGCAGACTCATTATCATCACTTTCTACAAAGTTATTGATTGTATGCGTAGAAGACCGTTGAGCATCACCTTGCAAGACTGATCTGAATGCTTTTGTGATCCACTCTGTGGTTGATATTATCACTCCTTCTTTTCCTTTGTCTTGAGTCGGGTTCCCTTTATTACTAATAACATTAATTTCTATATTATCAGTCTTTGATTTACTGATGCCTTTCAGAGTGTTTTCCTCTTGGGCAAGAGCATCAAACTTGTTCTCCACTACAGTAGTTATCTGAGGGGCTGTATTTGTTTTCCCCCTTCTATCCCTTACCACATTCCAATTACCAGGGTCTCCCACTACTTTCCCACTTGAAAGTATTCTGGCTCCTCTGTTTTTCAGTTTTTGAATTTTAGCAACTTGTGGCTCGTGTTTGAGTTGTGCTATGTCCTGTATATGTTGCACATTTTGCTCTACATTATTCCTAAAATTGACCACTTTACAATTCTCTTTGTTATGCCCTTGCATTTTGCATTCAACACAGTATTTAGGAACGTAATCATACTGAATAGAAACCATATTAGACCTTATGTTCCCTGTCTACACATTTTCTATGTTCATTTGCACAGCTTTAGGAAAATCACCTTTAAGATCTACCAATACCTTCACGCGTGCACAACTAGGTCTTGTCTTGTTTATAGTTGCTTGATCAAGATGGATAGGTTTTTCAACTGCCGATGCTAGGGAGAAAAGACACTCTTTGACAAAGAAAGTAGGTAATAGGTTAGGAAAAGATATTCATGTCATGGCCATTGATGTTTCTTCATTAACCCTAAATCTAGAGTCATAGATCAGAGTCCGCATCAGATACGAGTACCCATCCTTACATGTGATATAGAAATCTCCCTTAGAGATAAGGTTGACGAAATCCTCCTGTAGGTTCAGACGAATAAGAATGTGTTTACTCCGAAACAAACCAATTTGACACTCTCCTTTCACCTAACATTGCTTAGGAATGATTTTCCTTAATTCTTCAAGATCAGACCACTCGTATGTGAACTTCCCAACTTTATATTATTGACAATGAGTTTTTTTAGTTTCTAAAACTTGGTACATTGGATAAATCACTTTGTTTGTGTCATAGCTTTTTTGTGAATTATCCATATACTATGTGTTTGTGTCTATCGATATGTGTATGTCCTCAACAAATTTATTACTTTAAAATCGAAAAAAAAACTGAGAAAACTGAACCAAACCGACATTAACCAAACCGGCGGATATTTTTTTGATTTGGTTTGGTTGGTTTTAGAAATTTAAAAACTGATTAAATTGGTTTGATTTTGATTTTAACTAATAACCAATCCAAACCGAACCATGAACACCGTTGATGCATTAATAAAATAAATATATTTAACAATCCTTCAAAGTACGGACATATGCACTAATTATATTCAACTTAAATTGGAAGAGTTGTAGCTTGTCTAGAAAAATTGAACTTGTGCACTATCCTTGCTTTCACATGGAATCTGTATCATGCTTTCTATGTAACATATTGCTCTCAAACTTGTCGGACAACCCTGTAAATTGAATTCTTGGATTTTATCCAACTTTAGATCATAGGAAATTAAAGAGCCCTCTCTGCTTTCGCAAAGCATCAGATAATCCTTCCAAATTAGTAATGGAGACTCAATAAGAAGAGGTCTAACTGTGTATATCTTCATCCAGGAATCATATAACCCATACTCTTTCATTATCCAAATTTGCATTAAATCTTGTGCTGGATCATATTCCGGATTTGGATTAGGGTAACGAAGCATTGTTATACAGTCTCTTAAGACCACTAAACCATAGTGTGGTCCATTGTAGGAATTACAAGTATCAGGCATATTAATAGTGTTAAAAATCTCTGTACCCATATCAAAATAGAGAATTATCATTTTGTCTTTGGATCCAATTGCAAGCCAATAACAAGCACTCTTGTAAAATACCATAGAACAAGGCGCCCAATAAATTCTAGGCATATCTTGATCAATATTCTCTAATTCTCTCCAGAAATCAGTGCTCATATCATATACCTCAACTTTTTGCTCTCTTGAATATGGGTCCCTATAAGGAGGATCATTATAAACTTTAGAAATCCTAACTACCTTGTAGTCATTTGCTGTCGAGTCAAATCCAAACCCAACACCATCAATGGAACATCGAAAACCTTGTGGAACATCACTAGGGCAAGGCGGTAGCAACCTATACTTTCTAGTAGCTGGATTAAATAATATGGTGTTAATCATATTAACCAAAGCTATTAAACCATGACAAGGTCCAATAAATTGGTCATAATTGTTAACAAAAGTGGATTCCAAATATGGCACATCTAGATCTGGTGAAACTGGGTTAAGATCATCACCAAAAAGAAAAGACAATGTAGTTTTATGTTGAAAAGCATCTACTTGTAAAGAGCGCTTGAAGATAATGAATTCTTCTTTAGCAGTTTTACTGCAGTTGAGATGAAGGCTGATGAATGTGGAGGATGGAATGAGAATGTACCAGGTTTTAGATATGCACTTAAATCGCATGAGTGATTTTACTGGAAACCTTAAAAGTATATAAATAGTCACATCTTCGGGCAATTTCTTCAGAATTTCATGTGCCATCTTGGATTTTCTCAAAATGCATTTTGAATTATACTTGAGGAAATGATGTTTCTGTGTGTAGTCTCAGTTGTATCGCCGAAACGCAAGGAAATCTCTATCTCATTTGAAAAATAATAATTCTTCCTTCAATATTTTTTATTTTGTGGTTAAGAGGATTTGAAAATACAACAATTTTTAATCACCAAACACATATACAACCTCTTTTATTTGCCTCAAAATTTATATTATCACTTTAACTCAGTCTTGTTTCATTTTAATCCTCTAACTCTATTTAGCATGTACCATTTAATCACAAAAAGTTGTACCCAGTATAAATGTTTAGCATATGTTAGACTAACATTAAAAGGGTTAAAAGATTTATATATTCATTTAAATAACGTCATGTATTTTATTTTCTCCAAGTCATTCAAATTACTTTGTATTTACTTTAATTAAATCAAGTTAGTATCTTTAAGTAATATAAGAAAATAGATTAATTAGCTACAATTGATTACAAAATTTATTGCTGAGAGTGATTAGTGATACAAGTTAATATAAAATTTAGTTTATGTTACTATGAATCTCCATCTTTTTAAATTTATGTGGCATCAACAAAATATTTGACATCATTCGGCTAATTATAATTCAAATTTTTATATGACATTGTTCTCCTCAATCTAACTCTTTACTCAGTATTGTAATATTTTATTTAATCTTTTATAACGTAGAATATAATTGATAGTTTACACTTTTAGATTAAAAAAATATAATATAAATTAAAATAAAAAGAATATTATCTTTGCATAGAAAGAGATATGAAAATGAGGTAGGTGAAGAAAATAAAGGATAAGTAAATTAAGTAGATGAAGGAAAAAATGGGGTTGAAGAGAAATAAATAGGGTAGAAGGTTGTGAATGATAAGAATATCGAATATTACCATAAGAAAGAGTTTCTCATGTGTTTTAAAAGGTGAATAATTTCATTAAACTTTTTCGCCAATTTTGTGTTTAAATGGTATATTAAAAATGAAGTTGAAGGGTTAAAACAAAACTCGATTGAGTTCGAATGTAAAAAAAAAAAAAAAAATTACGGACAAGTTAGAGGGGTTATGTATGTGTTTGAACATTTTCAAAATATATATATATAAAATAATTTTAGATCCGCCTATGTGACGCCCTTACAAATTAGGGTTCTTAGTTAACCATTCTTAAAAGTCATAACCTTACGAAAAAGTCACAACTTTTCACGCCCTCACAAATCAGGATTCTTATTTTTTAACCCTTCTTAAAATTCACAACCTTACCGAAAAGACACAACTTTTTATAAAAGTCACAATGCAAGTCTTTAGAAAAGTCAGATATCTTCATAAAAGTCACAACTTTTAATAAAAGTCAAAACTTTTGATAAAAGTCAAAACTTTTGACAAAAGTCATAACTTTTCACAAAAGTCACAACTTTTCACAGAAGTCATAATAACTTAGGCTTAAGTCGTCTATGTCCCCTTAAAGTTGTCCGCATAATTCACTTAGACACCTCAACTAAGACTTGTACCTATTGAACACCTCTATCATTCCGTTGAACCATTTGAAATTTTTTTGAAAATAAGCTAAAAGTAGAAAATGTGTGAAATACACTCGCGATGACGTATCAATTTGACTAATTAAATAGTGACATGTGTTATTTTTTAATCCAAAAAGTTATTTAAACATTATATTATAAAGTAAAGGAAAAGGAAATTATTTTAAAGTAAAAAGAAAACTGAAACTTCCACCCCCACTTCCCCTGCAATCCACCGAAGCCCAAAATTCACAATTCCCTCTGCAATACCACCTTGTTCATGGCGACCCTCCTCTCCCTGTACAGTACCATCTCTAACACGATAAATCTTCCTTTCCATCAGCCTATTTTTCAATTATAACTTTCTTCTTCGCCTTGTTTTAGGTAGAGAAAGATGAAAAAAAAGCTCGCCGGAAAATTAATGAGCATCGATTGCCATTGTCAGAAAAAATAGAGTTATGTCAAATTTCTTGTGTGTTTCATAACCGATTACTTATTTGGATGAACAACATCCTTACATTCTGCCAATATACATCAATTTAAAGTAAAAACAACACATTCATGACAAATAAAAAAACTTCAATAAAAATTTGAGCAAAGAAAATAATAAATAGAAAAATCCTCCAATAAACACAAACAACTGGACATCAATTTAACACCAAAATACTACATTAACAGCAAAGAGACAAACTTCAAACTTAAAGTCTTTACAAAATAAACATGATGAAAATGTCGGTGATAATGGTGGAATGGTGGTTTCAATGGTGGTGCAGCCAATCCTAATATGAATGACAACGGGCCAAAAAATAACAACAATAGAGGTAAAAGAACTGAAGTATCCGGAGAAAACAAGAGGAAGAAAAAGGGTGTGTAGCGGCGACGGTGGTAGCGGCAAGATGGTGGTGTGATGGAGGAAGGGATGCCAAAGAAGATGAAGAAATAATATTTTTTTCCACAAAAAGCCCAATTTAATACTTTCACGTGCTTATACGATGTGAATCACAAACAATGTGTCACCTAGGCAAAAAATGTTCAAATATGGAAGGGTAGAGGTGTTCAATTGGTACAAGTCCTAGTTAAGGTCTCTAAGTGAATTATGCGGACAACTTTAAGGAGTCTCAGATGACTTAAATCAATATTTTACAACAGTCACAACTTTTGACAAAAGTTACAACTCTTCATTTTTCATTCACACATTTTAAAACCCAACACTTAATTCTAAGGCACCAAAAGAAGAAAGAATAGACAAAGAAAATTGATTTCAATTGCAATGTGACATTACTACTCTTGCGCCTCTCAGTTCACAACTCATAATGTTGT